AGTCAAGTGCCTTAGCCACTATGCTACCAGAGCTCCCACTCTATTACATATGTGGTAGTTAAAGTTGTGTGTCAAGTTGGCTGGGCCTGATTGAGTGGCTGGGCAGCTGGTGATAGTTATTCCCCATGATAAGACTGGCAATCAATTCCATGGTGGAATCTACCACCAGCAGCTGAGAAGCTGCTTTAGGGATGTAGTCTGCTTCTCATATATAAGAAGCAGCTTTGGGAATGGTCTCCAGCTTATGCCACACTTGAACCCTGCATGTAGCTGTGTGGTTATTCAGCAGCCTGCCATGCTCTGCTGGCCTTGGGACTTTCAGTGGAGTTGAATTAATGGCCTGATGTGTGGTTTGTTAACATCGAGACTGTGCCTTTTTACTTGTCAACCTTGAGCTTGTCAGCATCAGCAGCCAGCAGCTGAGTGAAGAAAAGCCTCCAGCTTTGGTGGGTAGGGAGCAGGAGGCAGAGCTGAAGCCCAAGGTTGAAGGGCTTTCACCCAGCCTCTAGAGCCTGGCACTCTGAACTCAGACTTAAAGCCTCCAAACTGTAAGAGAATAAACTTCTCTTTCTTCAAGCCATGCCATTTGTGGTGTATTCTTGTCAGAGTGGTACTAGGTAAACAGAATAGTATATATGGACATTGTTATAGAATGTACAAATACTCTGTAGAAATATTATCTGCCAAACTTATAAATGGTCATGGGTATATTCCCTTTTTGCTTGACATATGTGATCATTTAGCCTGTCTACCTATGTGTCTACCCATAGATTAATGTTTGTTATTACTGATAATAACACCTAACAACAACATTACTGATAATGCAGTATTGTGCATGCAAAAGTGTTTATCTTTGTTGTCTGTAGCTCTTGTGCACTTCTCTGTGTCTTCCTTTTCCTTAATGTTATTGTGTTGGTCATTGGCTTTTGGTATATTGCCTCTACCTTCACCCAAAGCAATACCTGTTGAAGAGAGAGCTTTTGCATCAAGTGTTAGCTCAAGGGTAATAGATTTCTCCTCATTCATTGCTCAGTACATGCAAGGTGACTAATTCTAATCTAATCAGAAATGAAGTGGAACAGAAAGGATTCAGTGGCTTTAGAAATGCAGAGTAGGAACTGATTTAGTTGGACATGGGTGTGCCCTGAAATAACAGGGAAAACATAGTGACGTGTAGCTCTAGCTACTATTTGCAGAGAACTGTCATGTACCAGGCTGCAAAGTATTTGCTTTAAATGCTGTCTTGACACAGTTCTCAGGTCCTACCTATCTGAAGGCCTTGTTCCCTTCCTTGAGCAATTTATTACATCCACTCTCCAACCATTCCCCTTATCAGGTTCTCACATGCCTGCGTCACTATGTGCCTGTCCTAATCTCCCTGGGGACAAAGTACCCAACAATTCAGGATAGCTCCTATGTTGCCACCCCCCCCCCCCAGCCTGTAGACTTATTCAAAATGGCCAAACCTAGGAATCTGGGGAAACCTAGCTAACCCCACCCTGTTTGCCCTACATAATCTCTCTCCTACAACTCCAGCTTGTTGTTACTTTGCCCTTGGGTGTAACACATGTATGTCTCTTGTCATGGAATGCTGTGCCTTTCTGTCTCTAGGAAATGTGAGCATAATAAACCTAGTCACTTTTCATGGCCTCCCTGATTCCTCTTTTCCACACCACACCTGACTTACAATCTTACAAATTTGTTCCAGCACAAGTACTTTGTGGGTGCTTTACATACATTATTTTCTTTTTAAAATAATTTATTTTATTTTGCTGCTGTTGTTGAGAACGTTAGAATATACACAGTCCAACATATACCCATTCAGCAGTTTCTACATGTACAATCCAGTGACATGATTACATTCTTCTAGTTGTGCAGTCATTCTCCCCTCCTTTCCTGAGTTGTTCCTCCTCCACTAATATGAACTCACTGCCCCTAAGTTTCCTATCTAATCTTTCAAGTTGCTGTTGTCAATTTGATCCCATATGGATTGAAAGAATGTCTGCTTTGAGCATGGTGCTCTTTCAAGATCTATCTACATACATTATTCTTAATCTTCCCAAGACCTCCCTCATCTCCCCTGTTTTAAAGAGGAGGAAATATATCTAGGCCACACCACATTTCCCATAGCACATGTGCTCAGAAAATAATGGTGAAGAGAATAAATGGATGAAATGGCAGAGCTGAGACCTGATCTGGCCCCATAGCTGTGTGCTTTCCACCACAGAACACACCTCGGGAGTCTGAGCCCCCACCTCACTGGGCTGCAGGGCTGTGTAGAGCTGCCTGAGCACAAGGCACCAAGGTGGGGTTGTGGAGCTGGTTGGGGAGAGGTACTGATTAATGGAAGAGAGTGTCATAAAAGAGGAAATGCAAGCCTTGCTTTAACAAAATAAGAAAATTGTGGGTCAAAATGTAAAAGGCTGTATGTTATCAACTGTTTTAAATAAATCAGGTAAAAATCAGAATTGACATCCTGGATTATAGAAATTCCCAAGAGGTGCTGGTACAAATAAGCAAGCAAACAGCACCACAAACAAGACCTTTGCCTACAGAATTAGAACTCACCCTAAACTTAGGTAGTGAGGGTGCCCTTTCCTGTGCTGAATAACCACACTGGGAAGCAGTCATGCCTCTCAAAGGAAGGTTGCCGAAAGTAGGAAGTAAAAGACTAGAATGGGGAAGAAAGGAATCTTTGCTTTGGCCTGACCTTGCCTTGTATCAATAGATTATGCACCTCATATTTTCAAGAGGGATGTCATTGCTGATGTCATTGCTGATGGATCATGGCTTTGAAAGTAAAGAACACCAGAAAGATGTTTACCTGTGTTTTATTGACTATGCAGAGGCCTTCGACTTGTGGATCATAACAAATTACAGATAACATTGCAAAGAATGAGAATTCAGGAACACCTAATCGTGCTCATGAGGAACCTGTACACAGATTGTTGTTCAAATAGAACAAAGGGATACTTGATGGCTTAAAATGAGGAAGGGTGTACGTCAGAGTTGTATCCTTTCATCATACTTATCCAATCTCTATGCTGAACAAATAACCCGAGAAGCTGGATTATATGAAGAAGCACGCGGCATCAGGATTGGAAGAAGTCTCATTAACAACTGATATGCAGATGACAAAACCTTGCTTGCTGAAAGTGAAGAGGACTTGAAGCACTTACTGATGAAGATCAAAGACTACAGGCTTCGGTATGGATTATACCTCAACATAAATAAAATGAAAATGCTCACAACTGGATCAATAAGCAACATCATGATAAACGGAAAAAAGACTGAAGTTGTCAGGGATTTCATTTTACTTGGATCCACAATCAATATCCATGGTAGCAGCAGTCAAGTTATAAGGCATTACATTACACTGGGCAA